GACCCTTGAGAGTCCCTTGGATAGCAAGATCAAACTAGTCAATCCTAAAGGAAATCAACCGTGAATATTCATTGAAAGGACTGATGCTGAAGCTGAAGTTCCAACACTTTGGCCTCCTGATGCAAAGAGCCAACTCATTGGAAAAGACACTGATGCTGGGAAAGACTGAGGGCAGGAGAAAGGGACGACAGAGATGGTTGGATTGCAACACTAACTCAATGGACATGAGTTTGAGCAAAGTCAGGGAGATGGTGAAGGACAGGGAAGCCTGGTGTGCTGCAGTCCATGGAGTTGCAAAGTGTCGGACACAACTTAGCAACTGAACAAGAGACCCCATACACCCCACACTGTTTCTCTAATAACACATTAGAATAGTAGATACATTTGTCACAATTAATGAACCAATATTAAAACATTCTTATTACTTAAAGTTCACACTGTTCATTTTCCTTTATTTTCACCCAATGTCCTTTTTCTGTTCCAGGATCTTATCAGGACACACTATTTTTAGTCACCAAGTGTCCTTGGGCTCCTCAGGCCTGTGACAATTTCTCAGACGTTTTTGATGACTTCACAGTTTTGAGGAGGGAGGGTCTGGTATACCCTCAGCTGGAATTTGTCTTGATATTTTCCTCTTGAGCAGACTGGCCTTATGTGTTCTGGGACAAGGACCACAGAAGTAAAGTCTTCTCACCATACGATGCCAAGAGTGCATACCACCGACACAGCTTATCACTGCTGACACTGACCTTGATCATCTGGCTGATGCCTAGTGCATTTTTTATTACAATATAAGTAACACACCATTTAGGTAACCGGCTTCCCAGATGGCAGTTGTGGTAAAGAACCCGCCTACCAATGCAGGAGACATAAGAGACACAGGTTCAGTCCCTGGGTTGGGAAGATCAATCCCTGTAGACAGGCATGGCAACCCACTCCAATATTCTTCCCTGGAGAATCCCATGGACAGAGCAGCCTGGTGGGCTATAGTCCATGGGGTTGCAAGGAGTTGGACACAACTTAGGCAACTTAGCACACATGCATGCATGTAAAGGAACACTGAAATCAGTAACTATTTAAGAGCTGAGCATCTTAGCTGCAACCTCTTAATCACCCCTTTTAATGGCTCTCTGAAGCATAGGTACTATTCCTCCTATTTCACAGATGAATAAAAAGGAAGAACTTTTCCACAACACACACACAATTGTGCTAAAAATATTTAAAACTGACAATATGCGGTCATGCAACCACCACCATCTCCAGAACTTTTCATCTTCCCAATACTGTACATGCTTTACCCTTGATGAACATCACCCATCTTTCAGAGGTTCAAATGGTTCCACTTTGTCAGGCCCACCTTGAACATTCCTGCAGCCAAATGTGACCAGCTTTTTCCTCTGGGTGGAGAGTAATTAATATTGGTGCTTCCAGCTTGTCTTCATCTTTACTTTTTTTGGTAGCTTTACCGAGATATACTTGACAAAATTTTAAGATATTAAAGTGTACACTGTGATTATCTGTTATGTATTGGATCCCCGGTAGTGCTAAAGGCAAAGTATCTGCCCTCCAGTGCAGGAGACAGAAGGGATGTGGGTTCAATCCCTGGGTTGGCAAGATCCCCTGGAAGAGGAAATGGCAACCCCCTCCCTTATTCCTGCCTAGACAACTTCATGGACTGGGGAGCCTGACAGGCTACAGTCCATGGGGTTGAAAAAGAGTTGGACACGACTGAGGAACTGAGCACAGTTTGTGCACACTGTGATTATCTGATATGTGTGTGCTGAAGTCTTTACTTCTTGTTGCTCTGAAGTGAGTGCATGCTGGATGCCAACCCCAAGGCTGGGTTCGGCTGCCCGCTGTGACATGGTGCCACCACCCCACTCTGAGGCAGGGAACACATTTCCCAGGACCTTCTTCCCTGGGGAGTTCTGGTTTAGAGGCTGCAAAAGAGTAACACGCACCAAGCTCTGTTGTCTCAGCTTCCTTCCTGGGCACCAGACGGTCAGAAGTCCTGGGATGGGGTTGGGGGTAGGCCATCAACTGCCCATGTCCTGGGCCACATGCTGTCATGTCTCCTTGGTTTCCTGACTCTCTGCCCACGTTCCATCCGATGGAGGGGTTTTCATGTCCATGCCATTTGTGGGATGCTACAGCGTGTCAGATGGGCTGAGAATATTGAGAAAAGTCCCATCCAAAGAGCTACCAGTTATATTACATTCTTGATTTAATGAAGATAAATGTTTATCACAAGCAGGTGACCACACAAGACAGTGGTTGATAAAACTTATTTCAGAGCAGCTTCCCTGGGCCTCCAGACATCTCAGAGGGATGGAGACCATGGGGTGCGGTCTCACCAGACCTGGGAAGTTTGACCCTTGCCTTGACTCTGCCCTTTCCAAACTGGGGCCCGCATGGACAGTCTGTGAGAATATATGCTGGCAATCAACACCCTGCACTTTAACCCAACACCTTCAAATGTTGACTCTTTGTGTCTCAGAGCCAAACTTCTGGTAAGGCCACATCCTTATCCAAGGAGTACAGCAGAGCAAGGACCCCAAGTTGCTGTACGATGCCTCTGCTTTCCCAAAGCCGTTTCTTCACATCTAAGCAGGTCCCTGTTCATTTCCACCATAGTGCTCACCACTAGTCTTAACTGCATGCTTATTTCCTTACTTACATGTGTATTGTTGACCTTCCCACAAGACTGCAGTAGATCAAACCATGGTCCCCCTGTCACTGAACATGGATAGTACAGCACCTGGCAGGTAAGTGTTAATAGACATTCACCTAACAGATGAATGAGTAAAGGAGATTCCACTAACTCCAAATGTTCTGACACAGTTGCAGCCTGGGTGCCCATGAAGGAAGACAGGGAGTCACACCTAAAGCACGAGCAACAAGATAAAAACAAACAAGTGGGACATCAAACTAAAAAACTTCTGCATAGTCAAAAAAAGAAAAATCATCAACAAAGGAAGATGACCTACTGAATGGGAGAACATATTTGTAAGTCATGTACCTGATAAAGGGCTGGTCTCCGAAATATACAATGAACTCCTACAACGCAGCAGCAGCAGAACAAACCCAGTGAAAGGGTAAAAGATTTAACTTAAACAGACATTTCTCTAAAGGGGACATACAGATGGCCAACAGGTATACGAAGTAATGTTCAACATCACTAATCATCAGGGAAATGAAAACCTGAAGCCATAATGTGATATCACCAATACCTGTCAGGATGTTATTATCAAAGAAACCAAAAGACAAGTGATGGTGAGGATGAGGTAAACTGGAGCCCTCATGTACTGCTGGTGGGAATGCAAAACGGTACAGCTACAGCAGAAAACAGCACAGAGGTTCCTCAAGAAATTAAAAAATATGACCACCACACAATGCAGCAATCCAACTTCTGGGTATCAATCCAAAAGAACTGAAATCAGGATCTTATAGACACATGAGCACTCCCATGTTCACTGGAGCACTTTTTGTAACAGCCGATATATAGCGACAAACACTGACAGATGAATGCATTAAAAAAGTGTGGTCCATACATACAATGAAGTAAATACTGCTCAGCCTTAAAAAACATAAATGACCCTTGAGAGAATTATGCTAAGTGAAACAACCTAGTCACAGAAAGCCAAATGGATTTTCCTCCTACATAAAAGTATCTAAAATAGTCTAATCATAGAGTCAAACAGTGGAATGGTGGTTGCCAGGGACTGGTGGTCAGGAGGGATGGGGAAATTAATATCAATAGGTCTGAAGTTCCAGGAGGAGGAGGAGTCAGGCAAGAGGACTGAGAAAACCCAGAGAGAAGTCCTACTGACTCTAAGGAGAAGCTTCAAAGGAGGTGATTCTGCCCTCAAGAAGTCAAACAAGGGAAGAACCAAATAGACACCACTGTGTTTGGTACAGCATGAGCGAAGATGACCTCTATGAGACATTTTTGGAGAGATACCAGAGAAAGCCACGTATTGCCTGGGGAGAGTATGGGCAAGTCAGAAAACAGAGGCACCGAGTGCAGAGAATGTGTTCAACATCTGCTGACACACTGAAGGAACATCCCGATGCACTTTATGGCCTAACAGACTTTCCAGGTATTCTTCAGCAAAGATTTAGTAGGGATTGGTAATGTCTGCTTACTCCTAAAATAGACCAAAACTCGCTGGACAACAAGGCAAAAAGGAAATGGGAAAGTCATTAAATTTGTGAAAGATGATACCAATTATTCAATGAACGGTGTTACAAAACTTTCACAGTGGCCAGAAACAATAGTGAGTTGTCACACGTTAAGGTGATGCTCACCTGATGCAGAAGTGGGAACCTCACCAGGAGCCTGACAACGAGTACATTCTGAGTTCAAACCCACCACACAGTTGGGAGATCAGATGGTGAGAAGGCCAGAAACCCCTGGGGAAGGAGCCTTTGGTCTCTTTACCACAGGATGCGTTGGGGAAAGCATAACCTTCAACATGAGACCAACACTGTGATTCAGAAACTGCACTGAAGTGCTACACTTACTGAACACTGATTTAATACCATCATCCATATTAATGCTTTTCCAATTAACAAAAGGGATATTGTTGCATCACCTAACCTATATTGATAGGCTGTGTGTGTTAGTCACTCAGTCGTGCCCGACTCTTCAGCAGCCCCATGGACTGTAGTCCGCCAGGCTCCTCTGCCAACTGAATTTTCCAAACAAAAATATTGGAGTGTGTTGCCATTCCCTTCTCCAGGTGATCTTCCTAACCCAGGAATCAAACCCAGGTCTCCTGCACTGGCAGGCAGACTGTTTTTACCATTAAGCCACCAGAGAAGCCCACTGATAGGCTACTGGTGGCTAACTAAATAAAAATCTCAAAGAAGCAAGGGACCAATGTCTTGAACCAATTTCACTGTAAACGTCGATTGCCGGATACAAAAACCTGAGAGCAGACCCTTAGGAGAACATTAGTAAAGCAGAACTGTCCTAAGATAATGCACACAAACCAACATTGTCTATTTAATAAAAATATTTAATGCTGCCAAAAGGTATAAAAATACAGTAGGAATGGCAGTACAATACAAAGTAGTCTCTCCTAATTTATTTCTTTTACATCTTTCTACATTTCACACACGCATTAGAAAACTTAACAATGCACTGAATTAGAGGCTTCTGCACAGTCTTCCGCTGGTGGCGCTCTTCGCTCCCTGGATGTAAGGTTTACTTTGTAAACAGACACATGTGAGGCAATCTACAGGCTTATCAAGCCTCACTGAGATTCCGGAGTGGGCTTCAGGTCTTGTTTTGCACATCAATGGTTCAAAACTTATAGCTGCAGAATATTCTCAAGGCATGAATATTTAGGTGTCTGTCAATCTTGGCCTAAAACATAAAATAAGAAGTCATCTATTCAATTCATATTTACCAAACACACAGACGTACATAGACACACACACACATAAAAGGACTAACAATGAACTAAAAAGGCAAAAAAAAAAAAATTTCCAACACATCACACTCAACTACACTGAATGCTTCACTGTTATCTTGGTAAAGCTGCTTATGTGCTTGCTCTTCAAACAGAACTGGTGGTGTGAGGCAGACTTATGTTAAAGCACCATAACTCAAGTCTTTTACAAGAATAACTAACTATGAATTTTGTAGGTCATCCTGTATTACTCAAGAAATGACCTCCATGTGAGCGATACTGACGGACAGACAGGTTAAAAAAAAATGTACCCACAACAGTTCAGCAAGATTATATGGTATGTGCTAGACTTACCAATACTTTGGAATTCAATGCAAAAGTCTAATCCAATTTGGACCTCCAATGTATCATACTGCTAAAAATATTAATGAATGTAACGTCTGAACATAAAGTTGTCTTATACCTTTAACTCACGGACTGTGAGCAGCGTGCTTTTTGTCCTGAAGGATAACACTAATGATCACAGCAATGCAGAACTGAAGTGACATGATTTAAGTATTAAAAGAAAACACAGACATGAAATAATTGATAGATTTATTGTATTTTAATGCCAAAAAGTAAAGATAAATGAGAGTTTCAACAAGCGATAGAGATGAAATAACTAATTTAAGGGCAACTGAGATTTTAATGTTATTTCACAATATTTGCAAACAGCTGAATTTCTGAGGTGGTAACTGGTTTTCCCCAACTTCCTCTGCTATGACAAAAAAAAAAAAACAAAAAACCAGCCCAGATCTCGATACCTGTTATTACTGTGTCCCCACGTATATAAACAGAAGACATAAACTGCACCCACACTTTTATCCAAAACGTTCCATCAAAACCCCCAACACTGCGAGTTGGCTTCTTCCTGAGTGCTGGCTCCTTGGTGTCAGGTTTCCAGCACCGACACAGAAATGTCCAGACACCAAGGGAACATTCTCGTTAGATGCCTGTGGGCACAGAAACACAACGGGTGCTTCCTGCGGGGAAGCGAAACAAAACCAAACCCTGAACCAAAGTGGGTGACATAAGAAAAGGAGCTCCTGATCAACCTTGACTGTTGCAAATACGAAGTGTTCCCCACACCTTCAGAAGCCCCCTCATGAAAGCAAAAGAACAAAGCCCATCAGTCAGAGTGAATGGAACCATGGTTTGAGTCACAGGGTAGTATTATTTCCAGGATTCCTCTGGATCAGCAGTAGTTCAAACTGCTCCACAAAGTTTTTTGGAGGGAAAAACGTTTGTTTCACTTGAACCATAAAAAGAGGGTTATTTCAGGTTTCAACGGGCAAAAGTAGCTGTCTAATGTTCTATGTAAATATTCCATAAAAACAGGCCCAGTGAGACATAATGGGAAAGTATGAGATCCGGAGTCACTGGAATTCTACAGATGGGAATCCATGTCTCAGCTCTGACATGAACTAGATGTACAGCCGCAGGCAAGTTGCTGGTTCTCCGACTCAGGGTGTATGTGTGTGTATTTAGGAGAGGTGGAGTGTGTATGTGTTTAGGAGAGGTGGAGTGTGTGTGTATGTAGGGGAGATGTATTTAAACTGACTGACACAACCGGCAGTGCATTAAAGACACACTCCACTAGATGAACAACTCCACTAGTAGAACAACTTAAGGTCTCAACAGGGGCCAGCTCCACACCTAAAGGAACAAAGTCAAGTGCACCCAAAGTAATTCCAGTCACCAGATGCTCAAACTCATGTTTCACTGAAAAGAGTCACAGACACTCCTCTGGGGTGAGCAAGGCACTCACTGCCTTACAGACAAGATTAGCTTGCCCAGTTTCCCTCTCCTGAATTCACCAAACTCAAAATAACTTCAGGTTTTTTATACCAGTAATTTGTCATTATATGTCCAAAAAATCTATACCAAATGAAAGCAACAGTAAAGAACTGATGTTTTTCTTTGGGGGCGGGGTGGGAAACAGTCTCCATAAAGATAAAAACTCCCAGCCACTCTCCTTACAGTTCCCCAAACACACTATGTGGTGGAAAACCAGAAAGTATTAGATTCTGCAAGTGATATCTGCCCTGAGTCCCCTAAGTCCCATATTCCACTCTAAATTACAAAACCAAAACAGAAAGAGTTCCAATGACTGAACTGTTCATTCTCCCACTGGACCGCACAGAGCTTGTGAGGGCGCTGGAGAATGTCCATGGTCAGGCTGTTCCTGATAAAGCCTCTGGCTGAGTCACCACTCGCCCAGGCACCGTCTGTGATGGGACAGCACGTACACACACCCAGGAGCACAGAGGACGCCTGGCCTTTCTGACTCGTCCATTGCTGCGGGAGCTGTGGTGCCGCTGGCCCAGAAACAAGGCTCTGAAGACAGATGTGAGGGAGAGCAGCCTCAAATTCAAATCAGCGAACTTGGGGAAAGCTCCAGAATACATCATCCAGGGAAGACAAGACCTGTATTTTCAGTGAGCCAGGATGACTGCATATTATTATGTAAAAAATTACTAATTTCTGTTTTTCAAAATTGCGTTTAGAAGATGCTGCACCCCATCATCTAAACAAGTCAAAGCCAAACAAGAACTTCCTGACGTGAGAGATGTAAACAGCTGTGACGTGGGGACGGGGGCCCAGACTCACTGCTCCTGCTCACACCTATGCTTCATACCCACTGACAGCCCCTCTCCAACCTGCCAAAATCAGAAACCAGTCAGCACTGACAGACAGCGTGACTCCTACACTCTTGCCTGGACTCAGGAAAAGTGGATGACACGCACAGCAGCATTCGACTTACAGTGAGCTACATTTACAAAGTGTCTGTAAGACTGTGTCTGAAAGTAAAAATCAAGGCAGCAAGATCCTAAAACCTGTACAGGGGACTTTCCTGGTGGTCCAGTGGTTAAGACTGTGAGCTTCCAATGCAGGGGGCACAGGTTTGATCCGTGGTTGGGGAACTAAGATCCCACATACTAAAAATTAATAAATAAAATGTAAAAAAAATAAATAAAAACCCCTGTATAATAACCAGGCAGGCACTTCAGAAGTGCCTTCCCTAGACTTTACAGTGGTCACTACAAGATTTCCAGTCATCAGGTCTGGCCTGTGTTGGCTCACACAGAATCTAGTCTGAGACATTCTTCTAAGAGAGAAGCGACTTGCAGAGTTACACCTTTCTCTGAGAATTCAATTCTAACACACTGGATTCTTCAGCACGAGGACCAGGAGAGACAGTGGGAAAGTCAAGTCTCAGGTGACTGGTTCAGTGACCCCAACACCTGCATCAGCTGGAGGTCAACAGAGAACACTCGGAAACACAGAGCCCAGAGCAGCGGAAACCACCACTAAATGGGAACAACCGTCACTGCCAAGAACCCTGAAAGCAAAGGTGGAACTGATGAAAGCAGAAGGAGGGCTCTGCATCAGAAACTGCCTCTTAAACTAACAGGTGTTTTTTGATTCAAACCATCAATTCTAGTTTATCTGAAACAAAGGGGACATGCACAAGTGTACATAAAATTAATAATTTGAATCACAATTCCTTCCTCTGATACACCTGTTAGGCAGAGCTATATTAAAAAAGAATCAACTTTACTTCCTTTTTCTTTTTTTGTTCATTCCTTGGTAGAAATACCAATACATAAATGGACCAAAAAGACCAAAGAGAAAAAAGGACAAATACAAAATTGCTCTCTAAACACAAGAAACGGTCTGTGTCACTATAGTCCTCTCTGCATTTTCACATTAAGATACATATGGACCCACTAAATACAGAGAATTGGGTTTGTGGATATTCCACACGTGCAATTATAGATAAAAACCAGCAGGAGGATGACATAAAGTGCTCGGATGAACGTGGACACAAGGTTGGAGCCCATGGTGCAACCGGAGAAGATAGCTCTGAATCAGGGCTGCCTGCTTACGAGCAGAAACAGACACGAACACAAAATGAACCAGGTATTAATGCAAATATTCTTTCTTAAAAATAATAAAACTTATAGCTTTTTTTAATTAAGAAAATATCACCTCAGCAAAGTCAAACATAGAACTGATGTTCAGCATCTGTTCTAATTAGGAAACACCATCAAGACCATGTCCTGGGAAGACGCAGACCACTGTGGCCGCTGACCCCTGCAGCTGTTACCTAAGGCCAGGACCCCGCCTGTCCGCCCTCCCTCAACCAGACACCTTCTCTAATAAAGGTCAGGCACCTCGCCACCCACTCACAGCAAATGGTAAAAAACACGACTCCTGGTAAAAACCGACATGCTCGCCTCAAGGATTTGCCAAGAGGAGGAAGACAACTAACCTATGCAGAAGTTGATTAACAAGGGTCTGTTGCCCTGGATGTGACTTGAAGAATACATTAGGACACACAGCTCCAGAAGGACAGAAAGCAGACAGAGAGCAAAGCTGAAGCACTGAACCCCACAAAGCAGCCGTCCTGCTCTGCCTGGGAACAAGGGCACCATTACCAGCTTGTGTTTCCCATGAAGTCTTTTTACTTTACTTTTACTGAAAGCAAGGCTACCTGCAGTTGGAATTGAACAGGTCTACCTGTATTTGACTTGCATAGTAATTACTGTATTTTAGCAAAAATAAACCAAGGCAAATTGGAAAGAAAGATTTTAAACCAATAATGACCTAAAACGTAAGGACCTTGGTGCCTGAACACAGGTGTCAAGCAGGCAGACACAGAAATGTCCCTCTCACCTCCTTCAGTGTAAAGCTAACGGGGCGCAGTGGTGCTGAGCAGGGCGTGCTCCAGACGCAACTGTCCTCCACACAGAGCACCACATGTGTCCTGCTCTCACACTCTTAGAAGGCTATTCAAACCCACTCAAAAGTCTATCTATACTGACATTTTTCAAACTGTTGTTTAAATGGTAACTGCTCTCTGAAAATAATTCAGCCTGGTGCAGCAATCTTACCCTGTAAAGTGGATAAAGCAGAGACGCCTGGTTGGAAGTTCAGCGTCCCCCTTATCCCTTCCTGGTGACCCCTTAGATATCCCACCAGCATTGTTTGAAACCACCTAAATAATGTGATTTCATTATTTCAGCAACTAAATTTATAACACCTAAAGTTTAAATAAAACAAGTTAAAACACCAGAACTCAAATGAGCAGTTAAATTCATTAAACAATATGCTTTAAAAATACTCATTAAGAAGTTAAAGGGACAGTGTGAAGTTTGAACATCATTATACTATTTATTGAGTAGAAAGAACTTGAAAATTATTTTTACTGCAAAACTTCAGTCAAATAAATGGAAATCATGGATAATAAAATGCTGCTCCTTATTTTGATTTCCTAAATCATGATTTACCCCAATTATAACTTAGGGTAATTACATTGAAATTTTCCTGAAAGATAAACAGTATTAATAATGGGCTTTACAGAAACCAGTTTCTTTACAAAGTCTTGACCAACTGTTACCTGACTACGCCAGTAAGGAGAACCTTCTTTCAAAGATATTTTTAGAGAAAATTTTTGTTTCTTTGTTTGTTTTTCTTTTTAAAATTGGGAAGACTGTAAAACATAAAAGAAATGCAAATATATAGTAAAAATTACTTATTCAGAGCTCTACCTGCTCATATCAAACTTCTCTTTAGGAAAACGTATCCAGTACAATTGAATCAACATACAATTTATTATTATTTTTATGGTAACAGATTTTTTCAAATTGAGCTTTTAAAAAGTACATTTAACTACAAAAGTAAGATTAAATAGGTACTTATAAAATATATTTACCCTGAAATGGTTAAGAATATAAAATGTTGATGCCCATGTCAACAGTACATTATACATTACACGCATTACTTAAAGGTCATTTTCTCTCCAATAATAATGTCGATAAAACCACAATATTTATTGCTTATATCAAGTGCAGGTTAAAATCCAGACAGCCTCCAAAAATGAACCCTTATGATAAAGGATTTCTCAGTCTGGTCAGGTGAATATTACACTTAGCATGTATGAACACAGTGGAAAATGTACCAGTTCTTAAGAATCATTCAAGTCTTTACTTGGGGGGGGGGGGCGCGGGTAGTGTGGGCAGTGCCCTGGGGTGCTGGGGGGACCAGACACCACACTTCTCTGTGGGTGAGAAGTCTGTGAGGAGTCACAGACCAACTCTGTGACTCACGCAACACTGTCAGCAGCTAGGGCCGAAGCTTGCGGGGCAGAATTAGTTACTTATAGGGCGTTCTGCTGAAGAAACAGTGTCCAGCCAACAAAAGCGCCAACCAGAATGACTGACACAAACCCCATCTTAGTGAGAATAGGTTGCCAATATAACCACCTTTTCCTCTTGCGCTCAGTCTCGCTCAGCCTCTGCTTCATCTGCTGCACCTTCTGGGCAGTGCTGGCCTTCCTGTCCTCCCGGAGGCGCTTGCGAAGAGCACTGTGAACAGACAGAGCATCAGCAGGTGGGCTCAGCTGCAGGTAGGGACTCAGCCCACATCCCCCCCATCCCTCAACTCCTTAAGATGCTGCAAGAAGGGGAAGGGCCTCGATGCTCTGAATGGTCCAGAGATAACACTCATATTGTTCAACGACAATTGCCGGTTCAACTTTGTGCTAATAAATACTTTTAGTGGGACCTGAAAAGAACCACGGTGTCAGTGTTCTAACTTTCTTTGCTAACCAGTCAACAGTAGTGGGAAGACAGAGTGTCCCTTCAGCATCCAGTCCCCTCTGGAGTTTACATCTGATTTTTCACAAAAACCCCTAAACTTAACATTTTCTTGAATGTTTCACTGTGTAGTGCCTACTATCCTCTGTCCACACCCTTTACTAGCTCCCATTTTCCTTTTCAATACAGAATTTTTGTTTCAATGCAAGCTATCTGACTCCCAACATCACAATCCTGGAACAAGGCAAAGATCAGTTGATGGTAACGTGTACTTTACTATTTTTCCCCCTTAAGAAAAAAATCTCAAAAGCCCAAGATGACAGCCACCATGAAGAAGGCAGCAGTAGCAGATGCTGTTACTTTTGAAGATCAACAAAAGACACATTTTCATAGTATACAAGTAGAATCACAAGTAGAGCTGAAGGAAGAAACAGAAAAAGGAAACAGTTCTAAAACTTAGAGATGCTTATGAGGACATCATGCTTGTAGATCAGGACTGCTTAGTGATATTAGACTGGCAATCTTCCCATCAGGCACTTTTGAGGAAAAACATGGGAAATGCTGGAAGAAGCAAAAAAAACCTTGCACGAAGAAACTCACACCTTAGAATGCAAAGTGGAATCAATTCAGCAGGTGTGAGCAGATCTGAGAGTTCAATCATATGGAAAGTCTGGCAGCAACACAAGCCCTGAAGCTGATGAAAGCTAACCATTTTATAATACTTTAAAAATGTGTTTTTAATAAGCTTGAGTAGTGTTTAAAATAATTTCCCTTCTTCAAATGATATGGAAAGCAAAACTTAATTTTTTTCACTTAATGGAAACTCATGGAAATTTAAGAGGATGAGATGGTTGGATGGCATCACCAACTCGATGGACATGAGTTTGAGCAAGCTCATGGGGTTGCAAAGGGCTGGACAAGACTGAACGACTGAAGTGAACTGGATGGAAACTTGCCTATTTAACATATATTTTTAAAAGAAGAGAGTACTCATTTATATATTTTGCATAACAATTACATCAAGTGTAAGGGCTACTAAAATCAGTTCCAAAGAAACTAAATCTAAATCTCACAAACCCCATCTCCCTTCAGGTACTGCTGTGTTACAGCGGAAGCCTAACCAGCCTCCCTGCCTTCAGTCAGGCTGCCTATGCCACAGCAATCGCTGTGAGGCATAGTCCTGACGTGCTGCTTGGTTAAGAGTCCTGAATGTCTCTTCAGTGTTTACTATATCAGCAGCCAGCTTTCTTCTTGCCCCAAGTGTTTAACCTAAATCTAATAATGAGGAACAGTCAGAGGGATCCAGATCATGGGGTGTCCTAGAAGGCAATTCGTCTAAAAGCTGCAAACAATGTCCAGCAGGGAGTGAACAGAAGGTGGTGCATGGTCCCAGGGAAGGAGCCTGAAGAACCACTCATATGCTGCATGACCCTGGACAAGATCATGAATTACTTTTTTAAATAGCTGAACAGACCAAGATTAAAAAAATGTCCCCAAATTACATTATGGTGACTGCTACGTAACTCTGTAAATATACTCAACACTCTGAACTGTATGCTCTACATCTGTCAACTTTTTATGTATCTCAGTACAGTTATTTTCTATGAAGCTATAAAGTGGGTTTTTGATAATTACAGAACTTTAAATATAGTCTACATATTAGATTATTTTGTCAATGTTAAATTATTCTTGGGGATACAGGCACCTTCAGCCACTGCTGGTGGGACGGCAAAGTGATGCAGCCATTTGGAAAAAATGGCTTAAAAATGATCCCCATGGAGTGACCACGTGTGACCCAGCAACCCCACTCCTAGTTAACACACAAAGGAGATGAGAGGACGCGTGCTCACAAAGACTCTCCAGTGTTCACCTACTGTGTATGGCCTTGGTCCTGCCCAAATAGCTTTTCTGCTGTTCTCAAAGTCTGTTTCCTTCTAAACTAAGAACACACTTCTCTTTGCTTCCCTCAGCCCCTGGAGTCCTTCTATTCTTATCTTATAGCACTTCAATTACAGTAAATCATTTACGATGTTAGTCTGGGTTCTTGTTTTGTCTTCTAAGTGTATCAGCAACTTGGGACTATGTTTTGCCCATCTCCGTATGCCTTGCAGTCTTCCTTCCACTTTTCCTTATCACAGACACAGGTAGCTCTGCCTGAATGATCTCCACCTGAGTATTTCCTACAATGATGTGCAAAAACTATTACTCAAAATTCACTCTACGGACTGAAAATTCACATAACGAGTATGTATGTACCTGCCAATTAAAAAAAAATTACCTTGTAATCAAGAGCAGGCAAAGCACATATAAAATATATAAAAGGATACAGAGCTCACAGTATTATTTCCTGACTTAAAAGCATTAAGTCTGAGGTAGAAGAAAAGACAAATACCTCTATGCTTTAACTTGTGACTAAACTACTGACATCACATATAAGGAACAGCACAGCTAAGTCAGAACAAACTCTGAAGTACAACATGTAGCCGCCATGCATTGCAATTCCTTATGTCTTGGGGAAACACAGAAATGAAGCTATAATGTAAGGAGACCTTAATGGTTCTCACAGCATATCCCTTGATCCCAAAGTAACAAATATGACTACAATGTAAAATTTTTCAGAAGAAAAAGCATGTTTGACAAAAAGAAAAAAAAAGTCAACTCAGATACTGAAGAGAGGAAGAAAAGGTGTTCCTTCACTTTTCTAAGAAACTCACACCTCAGGATACCAACTTCATACAATGTGAGATACCTGGAGCCCTAGAAGTATAATTTTTCAAATTTAAAAACTTGAATAGTTTAGACATTCATATGGATTCAAAACTCTAAAAGTATAGGGCATTTTATGTGATTTTTTAGAAAGACTTTTTTCTTTCAATAACAAATTTAAATTGAAATATTCATTTAACTATTTCATAATGGTATTAATGGGATTCCCAGGTGGCTCAGTGGTAAAGAATCCACCTGCCAATGCAGGAGGCACAGGAGACACTGGTTCAATCCCTGGGTCGAGAAGATCCCCTAGAGGAGGAAATGGCAACCCAGTCCAGTATTCCTGCCTAGCACAGAGGTCCCGCCAGGCACGGACAGAGGAGCCTGGAGGGCTACAGTCCATGGGGTCACTAACAGTTGGACAAGACTTAGCAACTGAGCACTCATACCCTCAATGGTGTTAAAGAAATATTATTACTTACACTGTATAATGGGAGCATGAACACTGCATAACTACACAAACAGCAGGTATTACCGTTTGTTTTCTGTGCCATACTACACACCTTAGTATCCACTTATATTAACTTTTACACTCTAATACCATGCTAAACCCATATTGTGTCAAGCCATTTTCCATTATAGACAGGTTTCTGTCTATAAACTGTCTTCTTTGAGCTCAATGACGCCATCATATACTATTTAAATGCCCCGCAATAATAAATTGTTACATTAATTCAATAAACAAAGGATCTATATTAGTTCATATCCACAAACTTATTAAAATAAGAGTCTCATCTTTACAAGCACATTACTGCAGTAACCTTACCTCTCGCTGTTCTCCTCCAGAGTTTCCTGTGTTTTAGAGGACAGACTTGAGTATCTGTCTCCTGTCAGTTTTTCCTCTTCTAGGCCTATCCTGTTCCCATTGTATTTTTCAGTCATTATTTTGGTTGGTGAATGATCAAAAACAGGACATACGTCTTCCTTAGAAAGTTCTTTCCAACGTTTCTACATAGGGAAGAGAAATGAGAAACAAATGAAAACACTAGAGTTTTTATTTTCCTTAAATAAAATTTACAAAATGCAATTATATAGTTAAGAGAAGCCTGTGATGCTAATATATGAATGAAAGAGGAAAACATGTTTTGTCAAACCACTTCTAGCTATGCCTACTTGAAGTTGAATTTAATAATAATAATAATAAAGCATTTAATACTGATGCACATCAGTATGTAGTTGAACACAACCACCTTAATAAAACACAGTGACTTTAGCCCATTTGAGACAAACTACACTAGGACCTCATGGTAAGATCTTCAAAGTCTGACTGTACTGTCCCCAGTGCAGAGGCACCTGTTGCAGGAAGGGTGACCAAGATGGCCCATGAATGTGACCCATGTCCTCCGGCTCATTGCCACTGTCCAGTCTAGAGAGAACCAGCAAGTCCCTGCAGTGCCAGAGGACTCCAAAGACTGTGCCCACCACGGGCACTAGCAGCCCCGGCAGCTGGCCCGACCCAGGGCAGAAAGGGCCCCAGCAGCCGGGACTGTGGGGTGGCAGGACTCAGACCATGATGAAAAGCCATCCACTTTCCTCCTCTGAGGCAGGAAGACCCAGGCTCTCCAAGTCTTCCAAGGGCTGGGAACACGTTCACCCAGCTCCTGGCCATCCATGGAGGAGCAGAGGCATGGCTGGGACAGCCAGTGGCTTCCATGACCTCAAACTCTAACTCCAGCACAGACCTGAGAGGCCCTCTTTGGAGATCTATCCTGCAAGTATGGAGTCTCAGATCTAATAATGAGTAAGGTTCCCTGCAACCATCATCTGAGAATTTCAAGGATTCTGACAGAGAAGGAATACTGCACAACTCACATTCTTCTGGGACTGACAGAAGAACACTCATTCTCTGCAGTTACTATGGTACAAAATGGCACTACTTAAACAATGCCTGTATGTTTAGATTTAAAAATTTCAGGAAATTCACTGACAGACCAATAAACTAATTTCCAGCTTGTCTCATTACACAACAAAGGAATTAAAGGTATTTTGTCACACTCCACCTTCCCTGACATGGCTCTTCTATGAAGCTGCACAGTGTGTGAATGGATCTCCTTTTGTTCTCGGAAGTTGACTCACAAAAGACTCAGAAAGTACAACTCTGTAAATTGTTGTGTTTGGAGGGCAGTTGTGTTTGGAGCACAACAGCGTGGCTAGAGGAAGGGGAGCCTGGAAAGCGTGGCCAGACAGGCGAGGCCAGGAAGGAGGTGGACCTCAGGGAAAGACAACCTTGACATGAGGCGCCCGGGGTGGGTCTGTGTTCTCTCGAAAGGGACCTGCAGTGTCTCCATCACATCCAGAAAGACTATCTTACCAAGAGCTGAGAATCCATATAACAACACACAAGAGTAAGATGCTTTCACCTGAGGTGACTGTGTCAATTTTGTTCTTTACCATTGAAAATTTTTTTCTCTGTCCAAATAGCATTTTTTATACTAGAGGAAATGCAGTGGAGAGACAGCTACTTCCTGAACACTACCACACCCCTGCTGACCTAAGACTCCACCTACACTGGTCCCCTATCCTCATGAGACCCCCGGAAGAGGTGCAGTTCCTCCTGCTGCTCCCTCCTGTCATACAGGGAGGTGGGCTGTGAGTAAACACCCTGCTCCAGGCTCCACAGCTGCAGAGCTGGGATGTGAACCCAGAGAGCCTGGGCTGACAGTGCCAGAAATCCTCAGGATGCTCTGCATCTTGGAAATAACCATCAGTGTCAGACACCAGAGAGTTTAAGTATCCAACAAAAATGTTAACTGTCTCCAGAATTATGCTGAGCAATTCTTCACCAAGATCTAGTTACTGCAACTTGGCCTCATACTTGGACAAAACTCAACAATGTCAATAAACAAGATGATGCCCAAAAGCAAGACTCATTGGCCCACTTCCCAGAATCCACCAAGACTCAGCAGGGTGCAGGGGTGGTGGTGGGTGGGGACTGTCAATGCTAGTGAACTTCAAAGGAGAAAAACAAAGAGCAATGTCTTTCTGTCACATCTCTGGGCAGAACTGAGGATTCGCTAATAAAGATGTGAAACACCAGCAATGGTACTACGTTTATGACAACCTCAGGCCAGAAAGATGGAAGGTAAACAGAGTCCTTTTAAAGACAGCTAGAGATCATCTCCTCTTTCCTGGTGGGCCCAGGACACTGGAGATGGCAGTGCATAAACATGCACTATGTGGTCATCACACACAAGTTACTAGCTTCAGGTACAGTCATTTTAGGTGTAAATACTAACAGCTTTCCTTTGTCCTGGCAGGTTCTAAATCATTTTATAGCCACATATGTCAGAAATCTTCACAGGAAAACAAACATGAAACTATAGTCAACAATGAAAACACCACTCGAATCACATAAGCCCAGATTAAGACAGAAGGTGGAGACACATGCCCTGTTCAGCAAAAAGAACCAGAGACAAAGCTGACACAGTGCGGTGCTACTGGACAGAAAGACAGTATCCCGCACCCACTGTCATCAACTCACACTAGAGAAGCATCCCTTGTTCTTCTTACAAATACTCATTTCCCCCAAAATCAGAGGCAAAGAGGAGGAGGCAGATGCATGGAGAGAAAAAAGAGCCCATAAATTGCCTATCACCCCCTTATGTATCCTAGGAGATGCTTCTGGGGCACAGGACACTTAGAGCCATGCGTTCTGCGGTTTCCACACAACAAAGCAACTCTTGATCTTTGTAACAGGACAGTTTTATGATTTAAGATTTCAGGGAAATCTATTTCTCTGAGATTTTTGTTCTGTTCTAAACTAAGGTTCTAGGATAGCACTGTCCAGTGAAATGTAATGTAAGCCACACACACACACACACACACACACACACACACACATATATGTATCTTTAAAAATATCTAATAGCCATGTTTTTTAAAAAGATGAATTTTAACATGTTTCATTTAACTCAATATATTAAAAATATTGTCATTTGAACACATGATATTTTTTAAATTACTGAGATCTTTTACACTCTTTCTCCCTGTATTTGTACATCTTAAATTTTAAGCAGAACTCGATTCAGACTGGCTACATCTCAACACTAAACAAACACATGGTTACAGCATGAGACATCAGGGGTTCCAGAAGGAGAAAACAGTCTGAAAATAACTACATAAAATAAACAAGTCCATACAGTGATACATAAATACTACTGATGCATGGACATGCAAACCTGGAAGCACACACACACGCATTAGTGGCTACACGCTGGGGGGTGAGGGTGAGTTAACGAAGACTTTTACTTTGTAATTGATGTACTTTCACAGTCTCCGAATTCTCATATATTCAGTAGGTACTAACTGATTGCTGAGACCAATTCTGTGGAAACTGAGCCCCCTGGAAGGCAACAGGCTCTCTGACCCTGAGCACTGGAGAAACAGGGGCATTTCCAATGGGCCCTGTGTAAGGAGGCAAAGGAGACCTGTGGGTCTGAGCAGGGATGAAGATGCTGGGTCAGGGACGTGATGGTCACACAGCACAGATAAACTGGGACAGAAGAAACTCCCCCAAGCCACATACCACAGTCACCATGGGACTCACGTCCGTAAAATCCACCTCCACCGGGAAAGCAACCCTCAGAGGAGGCACATCCGTGTTCTAAGTGCAGCGAGGGGCAGTGACCTGAGGAAACGCCTGTCTGGAGGAGCCAGGGAATGAGCACAGCAGACGGGGTCAGCACACACACTGGCACTGAAGCTGGTACACATTAAAAAAAGTAGAAGTTTCATCTTGAATGCTGAGGCGGCGTCTGGGGGAGGCACTAACGTCTCGTGGGTTTAATCTTCACACACCAAGCACTTTACTGATTGAGGGCACTGAGGAACCTCACCTTTCCCTTCATTAAAAATTTTCCTTTGATGCTAAAGAGGGGGGATCTTTTAAATAAAACTTAAAATTTTAATTGATAGACTGTCTTGAATAGTTAAAATAATACCAATGATCACAACAAAAACGTTAGCTGATAAATAAAATTGTTCAGGGGTATTTAAATATCTGTGTAATCTATACGACACAACTATTTATACATCATTCCACAGATGGTGTGATCTGTTACAAAACAAGGCTTATTCAGAATCTTGCTCTTTTGGCCATAATCACAGAAGCTAGAGAGCAAGTAAGTGGTTTTATGTAGGAGAAACAAAAAGAAAATCTACCTGCTTATGTAAAATTCTACAGGATTGGCTCAGACAAGAAAGGGGAGTCTACTGTCACTTCTGTTTCTATTTTACATTTTATGTTAGTACATAAACACAGGTTTCTGAAAACCAATCTTAGCTTTTGCAGAACAAAAACACCCTCATGAGAATAAAGCTACCAACCAGAGAAAAACAACACTGCCCTGGTGCATTGTATCTGCTGCAAGTACTCAAGCTGCTTGCTCACTGTTGCAGCAGATGGGATAATCTATTTACAAACTAAGTATTCTTGTGTAACTCCAGGCCAGGTTTTAATGGGCCAAAAGTACCTAATTTTTCCAATTATTTCAATGAGTAAATGCTCAGACTCTCTTCTACATGAAACTTCTACTTTTTTTAATGAAACCATGTTCCCAGCTGAGCTTCTGAGAGACAAGCAGGATTTAACAAGAGGCTGAGGAGCATGTGAAGAGGTGGGCACAGGCTTTTCCCTCTCAGAAGCCAGCTGGACCCACCATATTAATGTAAATATGCTTCTCGGGAGGAGGGGAAAAGCCCTGTGGCTTACACGGAATGCAGTTACCTGACAACAATACACTTGACACACGGTTTACCTGTATACTTGAGTCTCCTTTTATAAACTTTGCTCCTTCTATTATCGTCATGTAGGAAAATCTGAGCTGATCTGGAGTCTGAATCAGCCCCATTCGGTATTTTCTCATATTCAGTAACAGTTGCTTAATGTTAATATTGTCTCCTTTTTCTATCTGCAAGAGAGGTAAACAATATTCAAGCCTTTTGTTGTTAAGAGTCCAGAAAAGAAAGCAATCCAAGATAACCACTAAGGGCAAGCCGGCCCAGGCCGCCACTCCCTGTCCAGGCAGCACAGGGAGGACCCACGGCTGACTCCAGCTAACAGTCATCTCACTTGTGTTAGCCTAGCGATTGGTGATTGGTTGAAGGAAGGATTTATGCTGTGTGCTGGCTTAAAGTAAGGATGAATACACAGAGATTCGTGCCCTTATTTTTTAAGGAGTAAATCTTTTCACTGGGCGCCCCCTGCCTTCATATCTGTACACAGCAGCCTCATGTCTGTACACAAGTCTATGGATGGTAGCACCCAAGGGGGTGGAGGAGAGAGACCCACGGTGACAACACTGCAGATGATACGGCAGACCGCTGGCTGCAGCAGTCAGGCTTAGTCCACTGTGACCCTACCCCATCCCACCCCACCCCAAGTGGAAAAGAGAACAGTTGCTGCAGTAACTTTGGGAGGGAACTGACACATACGATCCAGTTTTAATATTTACCATAAACAGACCAGATGCTTAAGAGTTCTTAAACACATCAAAGCTCCCTTACACATAATAACTGGCTTTAGATGGAAGCATAGGGTATTAAGCACGGTGTTAATACAGTGACGTCTAAGATACCATAAAAGAAGGACAGGCACATGCTGGTGCCCCGGCGGGGGCTGGGAGGGCTGGGGCGACACACAGCCCTCGGGCACCACAGGAACCTCAGGGGGTGATGTCAACACCACACAGACCAAGGGGCTTAGACAGTAGGTGTTCCTAGTACACTGATTCACTTAATTCTCCCAATAGTCCTGGGAGGGAAATACCAGCACTACCCACAGTTTGTAAATAAGGAAACCAAGGCAAGAAGGAATTCAATACCATCTACCAACTGATGTCTGAAAAATACAGTGGGTGAGGGAGACAACCTATCATTTAGCACACGAAGCTAACAGCACAAGTCTCCTCCCAGAGCTCGAGGATTATCCTGGTCACAACCCCGTCCACTCATCACAAGCAAGAGGCAGCTGAAAGGATGTGAAAGAGAATTTTTGGTTTCTCTAAAAAACAGGTAGACGTTTAAGTTTGAAAAGCACAGTTCTGGGATCCTGGCATTTGAACTTACTTCTGCCAGTGGAAACAACAAAAAGGTATGGGAGCCTGAAATGAGGTCACTTACCAGAACAAGGCAGCTGTCCACCAGAGAAAAGGTGCCCGACCGCCCAATGCCGGCACTGCAGTGGATCACCGCAGGCCCGTGCTCAGGGTTCAAGGAGCCAGATTCCCGCACTTTGAATAAGAAATTGAGAAACGAAGCTGGTGATTCAGGGACTCCAAAATCTGGCCAGGTAGTATAATGAAAGTGAGATATTGTTCTGGTTTCACCAGTCTAAAAAGTGAAAATTAAGGGGGACAAGTTAGTTCTAAGCTTTTTCTTTTAAAAATCTACTGCAGTAAGATGTGTTTTGTGTAATGCACCATGACTTTTCATTTGGCTGTTGATAATCACACATATAAGTTTGGGAGGATTTTCTTTAGGAGAATTTGGAATATATTAATAGCTACACTTCTGTAACAATTACTATTTTGTAGGCACATTCTAAGCTTTTTATATATTAACCCATATAAAAATCCCATTAAAACCCATTTTCCAGATGAGAAAACCGAGGCAAGCGTTAAGTAATGCACCCAAGGTCACAGGTAAGAAAATGGCAGAACAGGACTGGAGCAGCACCTGGGTCTCCACCACTGACCTGCACCACACATGCCGCCAGGTCCTCTTAAATCACGCATCATGATGAGTGAATTCTCTGTTTTTATAAATTTCTACCAGTATAATTTCACATCTTTATTGGTTTCCTGTTTAAGAATTTCAAAGTCTGGGGCCTTCCCCAGTGGCTCAGCGGTGAAGAATCTGCCTACCAATGCAGGAGACACGGTACTGATCCCTGGTCTGGGAGGACCCCACATGCCATTGAGCAACTAAGCCCAGGAGACGCAACTATCAAGCCCAGGGGCCCTACAGCCTGTGCTCCACAAGCAAAGCCACTGAAATGAGAAGCCCACACACCACAGCTAGAGTAGCACCTGCTCGATACAACTAGAGAAAAGCCCACATAGCAAGGAAGATCCAGCATACCCAAAGGTAAATAAATAAATAAAATTGTTTTTTTTAATTTAAAGTTATTTTTAAAAAAACAATTTCAAAGCTTTTAAAGATACAATTGTCCCCATTATAAGTTATCTTTCAGATTCAGCTACACAGGCACAGAGGAACAACTCAAGAATTAAAGATACAATCTTTACATTTTTAACTGAAACTGCTCTCCTAATTGCTGTTTTCCACATGGAAACAATTCCCAGTCCTAGAACTGTTGACAGGCCTTGGCTGATGTGCTGATAATATGGTTTACCAACATGCTAAATGCTTCCTGTCTCATACAGCCTGCCTGGCTACTCAGCACCACTTCCTGGATATTCCCGACAACCTTTATTTCTGCCTAACTCTTTATGAAAACATCCCTCAGCTCTGCCAGCAGACCCCCGTCCCCAGGAGCACTGCTCTGCCTCCTACTCCTCCTTCAGAGGGAGCAGGGACCCACTAACATGTCTCTGCACAATATTCAACCCAGGCACATGGTTAACATACATCTTTCTATAAACAGGCCTGACGTTCCAGGAGGTGTTTTAACCCTTCCCCAGACAACTGCCCCACTGCAGTCCTCAGCCACCACACTGTGCTGACCACACACACCTGGCCAGACTTGGTCCTCTAGGGCCTAAGCCAGGTCGAGGTGGACCTGGCTAGAGCTCCAGGCTGGGCAGGGGTGGTGCCAGGACCCTGCTCCCATAGATATGGCCGATATGGTGCAGTTCAACTCTGCGTCACACCCTGGCCCCAACCTAAGGTCACCCCACAATCCTGGGCGACCACTTGCTTTTTCTTCGCTTGAATGATGTTGGCTCAAGATCAATGGCCTCTTTCTTTCTTCCAAATTCAGGTCACAGTGTCTGGGACACTCAAAGCCAGTTCCCAGAAATGCTCGCCACTGTTTATATAATAAAGTCTTCTACACTAATAGATTTCTGAAAATCCATCTTTTTCTTCCCTGACAGGAACAGACTAAAGGACTTCTTATAGGTAATTTTTTTTAAATTAATTAACCACTCCTGAAACAAGACTCGAAAAACACAGCTCACAAAAATCACATTAATTCCCAAAGGGCCATGTGAAGTAATAGGAGCCACATGTTTACTGTTGTGGTATAAAAAAGTTCATGTGCACAACTGGAGGCCCCTTCCCTCATTTCACGTTGGAAAAGTAATGAGAAGGGGGAAGGGTTCCAGAGAGGGGAGAGCCAAATAAAATTCATCTCTACACGTGGACCCCACAACTTCCAATAGGGTACCCTACACTGCGATCCCATGACTTCCAACAGAGTCCCCACTTCTCTACACGCGGACCCCGCAATTTCTGACAGAATCCCAGTTCTCTACACATGGACCCCACAATTTCCAACAGAGTCCTAGTTCTCTACACTCGGATCCCACAACTTCTGACAAAGTCCTTGTCTCATACCGGTGGACTCGCCCCTTCCTCCTCTGTGGTCACCATGCCCTTGGTCCTCCTTCTGTGATGCCCAGTCCAGGCCTCCATCCCTTCTCGCTGCTGTCCCTCACACTAGACTCCAACTGGCCTGCACACACCTGCCAGTCCACACATCCCCGCACCATTTTCTTCAGAAAACACTGCATCATGCATACCACCCCTGCACAAAGACGTTAGCACGCACCATTCTTAGGGCAAAATCTTATTTACATTTTTTTGAAGAATTCTAACTGTAGTCTTTGAATAAGATGACAAGCTCAGAGTCCATGGAGGCCAGGAAGCTGGTCTATGAGCTGAGTAGGTACAGACAACAGGAGCTGTGAGCATGGGGATGACTTGTGTGTGCCATATAGAGCCATTCAAATTCAGGTTAACTATTACTATTATCAGTTTGAAGAGGACTATAAATCTTCTAATTATTATTAAAAAAATCTACAAAGCTCTATGGCCCAGGCCCAACTTTAGGCACAGGAAGAAGGTAGCAAGATTGTGTTTCTAAGACTTTCATACGCCCAGTTTCACCATCTGTTAATGGGGTGTGAGAAAGCACTTACTTCACAGGCTCCAGCGAGGAATAAACAGGCAACCCCCACACCAGTGAAGCCTGAAGAGACACAGGGACACTCACTGGCGGCCTTAACCCTAACACTTCCAATCAACTATGACCTCTCCACAATTCCAGTCTCCTCACCTGTGTTTCTGCTCCACCTGGAGAGCAGCAAGGTATCAACCCTGTCCCCCTCAAGGTCACTGTCCTGGTCCAGTCCTTAACCAGCTCTTGCAGGGCTGCTGCAACAGCCGTGCTAAATACATGGTCACCGAAAGTCACTCTGGGAGTGAACCGGAACCCCAGGTGGTGAACAGAAGAGAGTGACAGGCCAGGGGGCATAGGGCCCAGTTCTAAGCAGAGGGAAGGGCATGCCCAAGACAGGGACGGGCAGGAGAATTGGTGGGTGGACAAGCGGCAAGGGTAGGTGGACTGGGGCTCCCGCAAGGGCCATGGAAAGGCATCCAGAGCCTTAGAGAAGGATTCCGCATTTCAGAACAAGCACTCAGGGTGGTGAACAGGGGACTTGGTGTACCCACCGTAAGAACCCCAACACATTAAGTGACCGAAGCAAGAAATGGGCACAAGCTGGACGGACGGTGCATAGGACAGACAGGAGAGGAGGAGCCTGGGGGGGTCAAAGCTAGGGGCAGAAGAAACAGAACTCAGTACAACACTGTCTTCCAGGAACTCAATCACCTAAACCTGACAGAAGACACACGGAAAACACTAAAGGGCAAGTAAACAGAAAAGCCCGAAAGGCAAGTTCTCCATGTGACCTTGGATTTTAAAAGCCCCTCAAAACTACCTCCACAGCTTAAGCCATTCAAAAGCAGAATGGACTCTCTTCACTTGGGGACAAACGTTCAGACTGAGCTCTCATCATGATGCTGAAAAGAATGCTGGTGCTCCACTGCTCTGTCAAACATGTCGTCAGGTGCGAGGTCCCCTCAGAGTAGGCCTGACAGGGCAGCTCTGCCCAGGTTGGTCAGGAGACTCCTCTAGAAGCGACCTGGTGCTCTGACCTCAGGAACGAGAGAGGGCGGCCCTACTTTATTAGCACCTTCTCCCTCAGCTCACCCATCTCCACCACCCTGGCTCATGGAGGCCCTCCAGATTCACTCTGTTCCCACAGGAGCCCTGACCCAGGGGAGCCTAGAACCGTAGGCACCATAGGAGCGCTAACTCATGCAGTCACAATGACAACCCCATGAGGCAAGCAAGCCATCACCCTCGTTTTGCAGATGAGAGAAAGTAGGCACAGAGATTAAGTAGCGGGCTGGTCACGGGGCCAGGAGCAGCAGCCAGGATTCAGGCCACATGGCTCCTGGGTCTAAATGTGACTAACGCAACTGTCTCATCCACTACAATGCTACCTTATCCTTCCAACACTGCTCACTCACTACAGACTGTGAAGTAGAACATAAACTGTTGCTGTTCAATTACAGTGGACTCTGAACACAGGCCAGTAAGAAACCACACATGGGCAGCAACTGAATTGCAGGGGCTGGCCCACTCCCAGGGTGGCCTCAGCTTCAGAAACTTTAGAACCAAGGCTCTTTCCACAACAATTAGACTTGGTCCCATGTCATTAGAAGTTAGGAGATCTGGAATTCAGCTAAGTAATCTATTTATGGGAAAAATCTATTAGCCTAATGGATTTTTAGGTTATTTTCTTTAACTAAGAAAAACAGGAATATTAGGAGTTTATCTACATTGTAGGAAAACCATGGGTCAAACTATACATATGTGAAAATACTTCACAAGCTGATAAACAAAATACAAAAGTATTTTATTATTTCAAGTGTAATCAATTCTCAGAGAAAAACACCTATGCCCATCTCCTGCTAAATCAATTTTAATGCCACAAGCAGATGCAGTACCTAGGATACATAAATACTAAGAGAAGGTGATTCCCAGAACCATGAGAAGTTTATGAAAATGAAGTTCTGTTTCTGGGAATAAGGGCTGGACAACCAGTACCAAGTAGCAGTTGATGTATTTCAGTGCAGCTTAAGATACACACAAATGGAATTACTGGTGCAAAACACACACAGTGAGGAGATTCGTAAAGAAGGCACCTCCCTGAACGACCTCAGAGCTGAGTTATGTTCTCATGGAAGCTGGACCCAGTCAGATGCACATGGTACACACCCATGCTTATGTCACAAAGGACAGGTGTTTTAGGAGATAACCACAAAAGGTAATTCGGCATATCTAAAAAGTGTATATACCTCCCTTCTCCACAAAATTTTTTTCTTTTGGATTAATGATCACACATTAATACTCAATACACTTAATACTTAACTAAAACAGTATCTCACTTTATAGACCAGATACATCCCTGAAGCCATTTCTGGGCAAACATTTTCTTATTTTCTAGTTTTTCTAGTTTCTGAGAGCATCTCAGAATCACTCTTAGTTCTTATTTTTTTGTTATGCTAAATACAGACCAAAGAAAGCAAAGAGGTGAATGGGAAGGGGGGAACTATGTCGATGCATAGACAATAACAGTAGGCTCACAACCAACTGCCTGTTTCTCACCCAGGCACCAAGGAACGAGTCTTACATTTTTGGAAAAAATCCAAATAAATACTGATGAGGTCATACGGTAAATTTATTTCACCATTCCACCAGCTCAATAAAGACAAATTTCCATGTGACAAACCCCTCAAATTAGCAACTCTCTCCAAGCAGCAAGAACGAAAGCTAGCTTTTCCCAGGCATGCGCTCTGTACCAGCACCTTTACACATACCTCCTCACGTGATACCCACGTCCTCACAAATGTCACAAATGCCAACAGGGAGGCACCACAGCCTCCCCCTAAAGACAAGGGGGGGCCTGGGCAGGGATCACTGAGCAGCAGCAATGGATATAAACCTAGGCTTCCCAATTCTAAAGCCCTCTCCCTCAATCTTCAACCAATTATAATACTGATCAGTTGCTCAGAATCCTCAGATACCAACCTGAACTTCACAATTCTTAGTTTCCAGCATTTCTTAAGAATTCTCAGAGAGCCACCACATATGAGAACAAAATCTATGAGGACATGGTTATGGCTGTGAACCATTACAGGCACTGCTGCAATGAATGGGCTGTCCCAAACTTCAAATCCAAGAACAAAGAATAATCCTTAAAGTCACCACATGAAGCCCCATAGTCTGGGCACAAGCAGTCTTACCCTGGTGTTTCCTAACTGCAACAGATGGACCGTGTAATAGGACTTCACGTCCTCTGACAGGAACTTCACATTGAAGCCTGTTTCCTTAAACAGCATCTCCCGGTCATCTTTTGTAGGCCAGTACTGTGCACATTTAACCTAAAGTTAAGAACATAAACATAATGAAACCATAAAAAGCTGGAAAGGAAAACGAACCACACACAAGCTATATATTTTCAAGTACCCAAATCTAGGAACAGTCATACTATGTTTGATGTTTAATGTATTTTAATAAGATTGACATCTTATAAATGCAGTTTGTAAAATGTTCTTATAACTTACACACTTAAGAAAACAGATATCATGTTCATAAAATGAAAATCAATTTGTCATTTCTAAAGCAGGATAACCTGTATTTCAACATCAGACTGGTATTCACTCTTATGTTTCTATAAATATCAAACTCATGCAAGAATCGTATCTTCAAACAGTACTGAAAGGTTTTGATTTCATAAGTACTTACCATAAGCTATAATAAACCTAGACAGCATATTAAAAAGCAGAGGTATCACTTCACCAACAAAGGTCCATAAAGTCAAAGCTATGGCTTTTCCGGTAGTCATATATGGATGTGAGAGTTGGACTATAAAGAAGGCAGAGCACCAAAGAACTGATGCTTTGGGTGCTGGAGAAGACTTTTGATAGTCCCTTGGACAGCAAGGAGATCAAACCAAGTCAATTCTAAAGGAAATCAACCCTGAATATTCACTGGAAGAACTGTTGCTAAAGCTTGGGCTACCTAATGCAACGAATCGACTTACTGGAAAAGACCCTGATGCTGGGAAAGACTGAGGGCAGGAGGAGAAGGGGGTGATAGAGGATGAGATGGTTGGATGTCATCACTGACTCAAAAGGCGTGAATTTGAGCAAACTCTGGGAGACAGTGAAGGACAGAAAAGTCTAGTGTGTTGTAGTCTATGAGGTAGCAAAGAACTGGACATGACTTAGCAACTGATCAATAACATTTTCCATAAATACCTGTTAATCTGCTACTAAATACTATATATCTAGAGATAACATTGCATACTTACATACTAAAAGTCAAGGGAAAGAATCAGAAGATAAGCCCCCTTTACCTAGAAATGTGGCAGAACTACTGACGTGGAATTAACATTTTGTGACAATAAAAGCATCTCCCCAAAAGCCAAACTGTAAGGCCAGCATGCTGTGGTGAGGTGAGCTAGAATCACTTCACTGAGAAAAACACTAGGAAAACATCCCTGTAAAATATGGTCATTTCTTTTAGATATCACAAACAGCTACAAATAACAATTAATAGAAATACTTCCAAAACAAATGAATGCTATGAGCTAATACTTCAAAAGCTGCTAAAAGACATTAAAAAAACAAATGACATAAGAAGTGAAAGAGCATGAATTATAACAACTCATAAATGACGTGACAGAAGAGAAAAAAGAACCAAAAGTAACAGAACACATCATTTCATAAACAAAGATTAATTAATTAAACTAAAGGGAACAGAGCTGTGAATAAACACGACAGATGATGCCTTAAGAGAACAAGGACATTTTTAAAATAAAAAAGAAATAAAGAGAGACTAGTAGGCAATGAAAATCTAACACATATGTGTAACAGAAGGCCCCGGGAGAAGAACAGTAAGGCATGCAAGGGAACAGAATAAATGTCAAGTATAATTCAATAAAAATTTTTCTTTAAAAGAAAGAAAAATGCCTGAAATCACATAATGAAATAGCACGCTCTGTCCCTGGACAAACTGACCCAGAATGACCAGCACAGACACATTTCAGTACAATCAATGGGATCTGAAGAAAAAAAAATCCTTTGGGTAAAAGAATAAGTAACTAATAGAGGAAATAGAGTAAGATGTGCCTTTGTGACAGGAACATGCCAGAAGGAAATGGGTAATACTGTCAAGTTGCTCAAAAAGCAAATGTGAGCCAGAGATTTTATATTCTGCCAAACAGACTCTTCAGCATCAAGCCAGCAGAGGTACTGTCATCAACACACAAGAAACTGGGACCAGGGCACCCATCTCAGGATCCTCTGAGTGTGAGCTACACATAGAGCAACCAGAGAGACTCAACGACAGATGCACATCTACACAAAAGGGACTTAAGATAGACTAAAACGTGGTAAACTCTGATGATGGAGGTAAAGCACAACTTGAGAAAAACAGGATGAGAGAAAACATTTTAAACTGATTTCAGTAGTTATTTTAGTGATGGACTTGATTTTGTTATTACAAGTACATTCTGTGTGCAATACGGGACAGAGTAAATGAGTATAAGACATTCAACATCACTAGTGTCTCTGAGAACCAGAATTCATGGTGAAACAATCCTATAGTCCTAAATTTTAATATCAGTATCAAATATCAGAATATCAGTACCCCTTCCCAAAAAAAAGAGGAAGAGGCATCAGTATCAGTACGAACACTAGTGTTCTGTTATCTTAACATACAAACATAATTTTCCTTAACTCTGTTCACTGAAAAGACCAACCCAGTAAGAACAAAGATTACTATTTTTGCTGTGATCTTGAAATACCGCTGCTCACCAAAAGAAACCAAGGCTTCTTAAAGAAACAGCTGATTCACATAGGAAAGATAAGCCTCTAACAGGGAGTCCTTCCAGATATCAAAGGAGCTAGTAAGACTCTTCGGTTTTTTGTTAAAAGAACTCAGGGCCCAACCTGAAAAGCTTCCTCTGGCCAAAGAAGGGACAATTTGACTACCAGTAAGAGTAACAATGGGCTTCCCAGGTGGCTCAGTGGTAAAGAATCCGTCTGCCAAACAGGAGGCAGATCCTTGCATTGATTCCTCAAGATCCCCTGAGGAAGGCATGGCAACCCAGTGCAGTATTCTTGCCTGGGAAATCCCATGGACAGAAGAGCCTGGCAGGCTATAGTACAAAAGGTCGCAAAAGAGTTGTACACGACTTTAGCGACTAAACAACAAGGATAATAACTGCCATGGAGTGAACTGAATCAGGTGTTTAATAAACTCATGACTTCACAGCATTGATCCCCTCCCGCCCCTACACCAAGAAAACCTAAGTGGTCACATACTGAGGATATGTGGGAATCAACTTCTTTGGAAAACTGATTTTCCTACATCAAGGTGGTAGGTAACTAGAGTGGGAGCCTTTTTTTTTTTCCAATAGAAGAATTTCAACCAAAACTCAAGAAGAAACAATAAAGCTGGAATATCACTATGACCCTAATTAATTAAGGAACTAAACACTGACCAGCAGCAGCTGCTGACATCATTATGCTGACACACAGGGTTATTACCACACACGAGGCGACCTAAACGATCAAACCTGACTCTTATTGAACATCTGGATGAAGGTGATTTCTGACTGCTGGTGGCAATTTCTCTTTTTATTACAGTACTTATTCTGCAGAATGAGAGATGAAACTCATAATCCTCCAGCTGACAACGATGCTCAAATGTCCCAACAACAGCACCCACATCACTTGGGTCTGTTGGTCACTGTGGAAGCATGAAAACCACTGCAGAGACTATGCTGACACTGCAGGACACCATGGTGTGGCAACAACACTGTGGATTGAAACAGACTAGAAGCACCTTCACTACCACTGAAAACCAGCAGCTATTAATTTAGAAAAAAGGAAGAATTTAGGATCTGAAGGAGCAGAACAGCCTGAGACCTCAGGGCTGGAAGAGATCTGACAGATAACACTTTCTAATTTGCATGTTTGACAGAAGAGGACCCTCAAGCCACAGACTCTGAAGACTTAACCACCATCACACCACTAATTAGCACTGGATTTTAAACTGCATCTCAAATGTCAATAAACCTATACATATCAATACTCACTACCTCCTGACATAAGAGCCAATGGTAGTTTATTAAGGTTTTAGAAACCTGTCACTTCAATTCTTCATAAAATTTCCAGGATTCTGTTAATAATAAATTATAAAAATTCTGATAAAGCCTAGGAATTCCAAATATCTAAGTACCACAACTGGCCAGTACTCACTCCATTATACTTATATTTGGAGGGCAGTGGTCCACAGTTATTATTTAAATATTTAAGGTAATAAAGGAAAATGATAGGTTAGTTCGGGTCAGAATCACCCTGACTCTAGTTTTTAGTAATTAAAGGCCAAAACTAATGAATGACTATCCCAAAAGAAGTAAGAAAATATTTGTAAGTTAACAATCACAGACTGTACAGTAAGTTGTAAATACCAAGTATTACTCACCGATTCTTTCTCCACAATTCGGTTTAGCATGACAACTGCTTTGGTCTTTTGCTGCCAAACCATGAGCCAGAAATGACAACATGTATTAGGAAGTGGACCCTGTAAGACAGAAGAAACAGCAGGTGAGAGGAGCGGTGACTGAGGCTCCAAGGACATGCCTTCCAGGAAGCTTCTCATCTGAGAACAGGGGATTGGATCACAGAATGTCAATCCAGACTCTAAACCCACCTGAACTAAAAACAGGTCTCTGTTAGTTGGATTACTGATTATCAATGAAAAAAACTGACTTTTATTTACTTAGGCAGAAAAGAAAAATTTCCAGGCCGTCAGGTGGCTCTCTGAATTGAGGGTTGGAGAACCAGGCTTGGGCAGGAAAAAAAGTCAAGACAAGATTTTGTCCCAAGGGGTGTGAGTTTGGGGCAGCACTCCCAACCAGTCACCACTGTCACCCTTGGAGGGCGCTGCCATCCTCAGGTGGCTGCAGTGCGTACAGGTTAACAGATTTGACTATACTTTTTGTTTTTTGGACTATACCTTGAGTAACGCAACAAGCAGTCACCTGCGGGATGCCGGGGGCTGGGTCTGCCTGGAGCTTCAGCTCCACACAGAAGAAATTCAAGTGGTGCTGCACTAAAAGCAGCTTCAAGGCCACTTGTATCCCAGCTCTGTAGTGGATGTGCTGGAAATATTACGTGAGCTAATAAACTCCTGCTCTCAATTATACCAATGCTAGAAGGGACCAAGAACCCTGAGCTGTTCCCCTTACTGAGTGCATATTATTCAAAGTTTGAGCTACTTCCAAAACCACACAGTGCAAAGATAAAAACAGCCATGAGAAGACCCCCAGTAAAATGAATGCCTTCTCTTTCATCTAAAAAAATGGATGGATCAGGTCTCCAATGAAGTCACTGCTTAGTGTAACACACACACACACATTCTAGAGTAGTTCTAAAAGGGAAGAGGTCCATTTACCAGCAATACAACGTATTATCTTCTACAAAACAGAGATCTATACCAAGGGATCAGCAGGTATACATTTTTAATTCTCGTAAAACTTAAAGAAAAAGGATGACAAAAATTATAAGCAACAAAGGACAAGCAGAACAACTGCAGTTTCAATAAACATTTAGTGTGTCTGGTTTTTGCTGTCCTTTGAAATATTTTCTGTGCACGTTCTCTGTCCCAATGTACTAGGGACAAAGGCAAAAGCAGTTCCAGCTGTCACAGAGCTTACGTCGGAGGTGAGGAATGTGCATTAATTTTTTTAAACACCATCCTTGTAGAGAAGGGAAAACACACCCAGCCCCACCACAGCGAGGGTTGAGCCATAGAGTATGCAGGAGCAGGAAGGGTACCAGAGAAGAGCCTTAAAAACAAAGAGGTGCTGACACAACAAGGGGAGAGGGGAGGGATCAGGTCCATTCCCAGTGTCAGGGCACTTCTGGGAAAGAAGGTGACACAGAGAACCCACAGGAAACCACACCTGCCAAGTGAGAGGTGCTCGACCCCAGGAAACAGTCAATGATCTCTTCTTTACAGAATGAAGGAATATGACCAGATTGGTACCTTGCAAAAATTTCTCTAGAGGAATTGTTAAAGATGGACTAGAAAATAGGGACTAGTGGCCAAGAAATAAGTTGAGAAGCTACTACATTGGTGTAGATGAAAGAGAGCTCCAGAGAAGGGCAGGAAGAATCTGTGGCGTCAAGTGGTCCCATGGGTAGATGCTGGAAGCTCTGGGGCAGGGGGTAGGGGGTAGGGGGGACTCAGGAAATAATCCAAAGCTGAAGACAGGCTTGTGAGTCCACTAGAATGAGGGCAGAGGGCCTGGGTCAGGACATAAAGGAATGCCCAAATGGACAGGAGATTTAAACTAGGGTATTAGTCGGGTATTTTCTTTTTCATGAAGGGATTTACAGTGTTTTATAGGATTATTACTATCATTACTACTATAATAAAAAGCAGTAACAATGCCACAATGAACACTCCATGAAGTACTCACCATAGTGCCTGGCACTACATGAGTTTTTATTAGCACTATTCTATAGATCACAGAGATACATATTGATAACATACACACTTGGCTCCTGCACAACAGGGGTTTGAACTATAGTGGTCCAGATACAGACAAATTTTTCAATAAACACAGTCAGCCCTTTTAGCCATAGTTAGGCATCCTCAGGATCAACAACCTCAGATGGCAAACTTAATACATGATTGTGACTCAATGAATCTGTGTACGTGGGGCCAGGACAGAAGGGACAACGATGGGACATGAGCACCCGTGGGCTTTGGCATTGCAGAGGGTCCTGGAAGCAAACCCCACGGTGCTGCGGGATGATGCTGCACCTCGGGGAACTGAGGAATGAACCCAAGGGCATATCACAATTTCAGGGCAGCAAATCTGAATAATTAAAAGCAGAACCATCCAGCCTATGGAGACCATGTGGCCTCACCCCACTTGTTGTATGACGTTGGTAAAGTTATTTGCTGTTCCTTTGTCTCTTCAGATGACTCCTCATATTAACATAAGGATAATAAGAGTATTTACCACAAAGGGTTATCCTGAGGCTTAAGTTATATAAAATATGTAAAATATAGAAAAATGTTAAAAGTTGCAAGCTGTTACTATTTACAACAGTCAAAACATGGAAGCCATCTAAGTGTCCATCCACAGAGGAATGATTAAAGAAGATGTGGTACATATATACAATGGAATATTGGTCAGCCATAAACAAATAATGAAATAATGCCATATGCAGCAATATGAATGGACCTAGAGATTATCAGTCTAAGTAATTCAAAGACAAATATATGATATCACTTATACGTGGATTCTAGACTATGATACAAAAGAATTTATTTACAAAACAGAAACAGACTCACAAACATAGAAGGTAAGCATACTTTTGGTTACCAAAGAGGAAATGGGAGGAGGGATAAATTAGGAGTTTGGGATTAACAGATACACACTACCATATATAAAGTAAATAACAAGAATTTACTGTGTAGCTCAGGGAACTATATTCAACATCTTATAATAACCTACAATGGAAAAGAATCTGAAAAAGAATATATATAGACGTATGCATGTATACATGTATAACTGAATCATTTTGCTGCACACTAGTATCTAACACAGTATGGTAAGTCAACTGTAGTTCAGTAAAAAATAAATAAAAGATTGCTAGCTGCTGTAAATTTTACTTCCCTCTAGGATGTGAAGTTCATACTAGCAGTTTTATGAATGGCTGTTTCATTTACACAATGCTGCCACAAAGCAGGCATTCAAAGCTTTGCTGGATGAACAAACAGGATTCAAGAACAGACACCATGAGTCCAGAGTCCAGCCTCTTTCTTAAGAAACAAAGGTTCAAAATATGGTTCCAGAGAGTTGAAGTGGTGAGTACAGACTGGATGGGGGCGAAACCTGAATCAGAATCTTGAGAAACAACTATATTTTTAGAGACTAAGATGAGAAAGAGAAAAGGATAAATAAGACTGGAAAAAAGAGAATAAGAAAGGGTGTGATAAGGAATCTAGGGTAATTATTCTTTTCTATTTTTAACATTATGGTTTTTAAAAACAGAAACTAAATAAATAAATAAATAAATAAAATAAAAACAGAAAGCAAAAATTTTTAACTCTAAAAATGACTATTAAAAACAGCATGAATGAACATAAGAAAAACTTCAAATCTAACAGAAAATGGCAAAATGAAGTCTGTATTTTTTCCTCATTCCCAAAAACAATCAGTACTAATAGCATGTGTGCAATTTATTTAGCCAGCTCCTTACAGACTGTTTCTGTCCTACTATTTTTGGCCCTGTGCTATTAACTTATAACAAATACTCTCACATTTACCTTCATGTCTTTACATATTAGACCTCTGAGTACTATAAACTTTTAAATCTGTTTTCTGACAGGTGAGAAGTGGTAAATGATTGCTGGTTTAAATTTAGAAAAACTGAGCACCTTTTCTATACATATTGCCTACCATTACTTCCCTGCTGTGAACTGTGAATTTTTATGTTCTTTGCCAGTTTTTTTCATAGATTTCCTTTTTGTTTTTGATTTACAGGAGCTGCTTTACACCAAGTAAAAAAGAGTACTTAATTTTTGTTTCCTGTGAATTATAGATAGCCTAACAGTTGACAGTTACATTCATCTGAATATCTTACCATTTTCAACAGTTTTCACTTTCAGTAACAGGTTATTTTGATCTGAAATGGGTTCTTTAAAAATCTCAAACATTACAAGTATACAGTTTATCTTTTTTTAATTATAGTTGATTTACAATACTGTGTTAGTTACAGGTATACAACAAAGTGATTCAGTTATACATACATATATATTTTTTTTTTCAGATTACTTTCCATTATAAGTTATAACAAGATACTTAATAATACAGTTTTATCTTTGGAATAATTAAAAATCACTAACTAGGAGATGGCAGCACTGTTAATTAAATCTGTTATCTGATAAACAAAGGGTAGCTGGTGTGGATAAACCCAAATCATTTCTACTATCTCAAGTGAAAGAACAGTGCCAATGCAGCACGGGTGTGGCCAGAATGTTGAGCAGGGAGGAGGCTCAAGGGGCCAGTGGGCTCTCAGACCACCCCATCAGTGGTCCAGGCACCTGGCTCACACCCTCACCTAACACCCAAGATTTGTCCATACTGAAAATACACACCAGGCCAGGGCAGGGAAGAGTTTTCGCAGGGCCTCTGGTTCTGATTCAAGTGAAGAAAAGTATAAGGAACAAAGTATCCACCAACCGAGACTTTGTACCAAACTTACAGCAAGGCAGACAGCTGGCCAGGAAAGAACTAGCAGGCCAGACCTCATGAACAACTTTCTTGCAGAGAATGTGTACAGTAACAGTTGCTTTTATCTTAAATAGACACAGCTGTAAAACATTATAACACCATTCATTACAAAACAACAGAAAAACCTGAAACAGCCATTCCACCGCCAAAAGAAGCCAGGACACACTTTCTGCTCCATCCTAAAGCAGACCCCGGAAATGGCAGTCAGGCCTCCACTCCATGCCATGCCACTTGCCTGGGTTAAGATGTAGCTCCTCTGTGCCTCCTCTATGTCAACTAAGCTGGCATTGATATAATCATTTTCAGCATTCTGCAGTTTAACACGACTGTGATCATCTGAAACAGAAAATGATAAACCATACTGTCATTTCAAACTTGCATTTCTTTTTTATTTGAGTATTAATTTTCTGGATATTTATAAAATGACAGAAAAAAACAAAGAAAAATAAATTAGCATCACAATTGAGTCAAATCCAAAATTATTCCTTTTTTTTAGAAGTTAGTGCAAAGATGAAATCCTTCTGTTTGTTACTGTGTGTTAGAAGGAAGTGTTGCTGTTGGTGGCAGATTAGCTGCTGTTTAAGTAGAAAAACTGATCAAAGAGTAAAACATACTAAAAGGAATAAAGTACTGATCTTCCCAAAATAGAAAGGATGGTTAAGACTCCTGGTGCTTAAGAACTTACAAGTTTTCCTACAAAAATCAATGGCCTCCAAAAATTAAGACCGGACAGATCCCACCATAACTATGTTTCATTTTCTTCCTACCTCAACAGATCTGCATTCAGCTATATTTCAATAATTTTTATGCTTTTGAACTGTGGTGTTGGAGAAGACTCTTGAGAGTCTCTTGGACTGCAAGGAGGTCAAACCAGTCCATCCTAAACGAAATCAGTCCCGAATATTCATTGGAAAGACTGATGCTGAAGCTGAAACTCCAATACTTTGGCCACCTGACGTGAAGAACTGACTCATTGGAAAAGACCCTGATGCTGGGAAAGATTGAAGGCAGGAGGAGAAGGGGATGATAGAGGATAGATAGCTGGATGGCATCACTGACTAGATGGACATGAGTTTGAGCAAGCTCCGGGAGTTGGTGATGCACAGGGAAGTGCTGCAGTCCATGGGGTCACAGAGAGTCGGACACGACTGACCGACTGAACTGAACTAATTAGATTAAGTGCTAAGCTATATTTAACACATTTGGAATATTCCAATTCTGTAACAGACAAGTGCTTCATTACTTCGGCTGTGTCATATACTTCTAGTTTTTAAACGTGAAGATCTCACAGATTTAGAATTTGTGCTAATGTAAACAGATGGAGCACAGAACTTTACCTTCTATCACTATGGTAGGAGAGAAGATGCTAAGAGAGGAAGCATGCATGTAACAACAAGATTAGCATCCACTTGGAATATTAAATACATTCCTGGCAGAGTCACAGGACTGAATTACAACCTACGCGCATCTTTGATGTCTAGCTGGAGAACACCTTCTGGTATAAACTGGGCCCCTCAAGGAAATACCAAATAACCATTCTCTTCCCCACTCTTAAACTAAAAGAGTTGTTCATATTATCTCCATATGAAAGAAAATGTTAAACAGTTTTAGTTTCACACATAATTTACATGAAATGTTTCTGCTGGATTGAACCCAAGACCTCTGTAAATATTACATGTCATTGGCCAACAGGAAAAGCGAAGATCTTGTTATAGTAAATCACTTATACTAGTGTTCTCGGAAAGATGATGTCACTTTTTTTTTAAACAGTCACTTTTTTTTAACAGTCTGATCACTCTTTAACTGTTACATGAGAGAGTAAAAAGAGTAAAAAGTTCAGCTATATAATTAACAAAATAAAGTCCATATGCCTCCCAGATAACACCAATTATAAGAACAATGCATCCCTAAAATTCAAATTCCGCTAAAATATAATCCCAAAGGAATGTGTTTCCTCTTGCTGTAATCACAGCAAGAACACAAACGGAGACTAGTCTTATCTATTGCACAAGTGAAGAAGCAATTTGCAAAAGAAGCAAGAATCCATAAATGCCAAGTCTCCCCTCAAAGGGAGTTCCAGCAGGTCATCCAGAACCTTCCATAAGCCAAAAGAAAGACTTCAGGGGGGTTTTCAGGACATCTGAGGCCTGCCTTCTGGACTCTGCACTGGATTCACTGTTATTTTCCCTCCTGTATTACTCTACACCTGGTGTCACTTCAGGTCATTAAATACAAGAGTCACATACCCCGAGAAGCACAGATAGGTTCCCCTGAACCTTGGTTCTGATTGGTGGGGAGCAGCAGGACACTACAGAAACAGCACCCCAGAAAGGAAGGAAATTGCTTGGCAAACTCTAGCCATTTAGAACTGGCTAAAAGTGTTGGCTGAACCTGTTTTTGCCTCAGGACCAATTAAAAAAAACAAAACCCTATACTTACATCATTTTAATTCTTCTGTTCCACTAAAAAAGATTTTTTAATAAAAAATGAAACTCATGTAACTTTTTGATTCAGGAGAGAATCTGTGCAGAGAAAAAAACGAGTTTCTTGTGTTAAATTAACACTGTCTACAAAGTAAGTATACACATTTCAGGAAGTGAAACTATCAAAGCCTTTTTATGAGGAATTGTGACTCTATGATTTATATATTCTCTAGCAATGGTAACAAAGACAAAGCCTCTTCTCTCCTGAAGACTCACTCACCATGTGGTCTGAAATACCTGTGAGGGTGACACAGGTCCGCTTAAAGCCCGAGCTTGATGTCTCCTCTCCCTGCCCATCAGGTCTGGTCTTCCCCAAATCTGTGAACAGTTCACTCCAAACCAACCTCTGACTTCTCAGGAAAAAACCCGGGAAGTGACCTGCTCTCTCCTCTCCCACAGCAGCTGATTCTGCCTAGGGACCTCTGAGATGAGATTATCAAAAGCCAGAGTCCAGGGACTTCCTGGGGGTCCAGTGGCTAAGACTCCACACTCCCTAAGCAGGGTTTGAACCAGTTTCAACCCTGGTTGGGTGATTAGATCCCGCATGCCGAAACTAAGACCAGTCAAATAAATTTATTTGACAAGTGCAGTCAAATAAATAAACATTAAAAACAACAAAAACTAAACAAAAACAAAAACATAGCTTTGGCGCATCAGCAAGGGTCAAGCCCACAGCACCTCCTCCTCATTCTAAGTGTACTTGGAGGGTTACTCCCTCTCCCCAGTCACAGGATCCACCCCAGTACAGGATCCACCAAAAGGAGAAAATGAACATGATTCAAACTGTACTGCATGAGAGGCCACAAAAGCAACCAAACCACACTGCACAGGAAATCTGATTTCTCAACATCTACCACCACCAGCAGCAGGACGACCAAGAACACACACTTTCCTGCACAGCGGCATCATCGTTGGGGACAAAGAAACGTACGCCCCACAGAACCACGGCCCTCAAGTTGGATTAGGCAAACTTCCGATGAAGAGTCCCCAGGCCTCCCACCTCACCGTCTGTTTTCTCAGAAATGGTTCCATCTGTCAAGAAATGACTGGCTCGAGCTGCCTGAGCTGACAACACAGATCAGCTTCCTCTTTCAATACAGCCACAATGAGCTCTTTCTCCCACCCCACCCACCTCCCCACCCACAGTTTCACCCTTTTTCATTACTGTAAAGACATCTCCTTCTGGAAAGTCTTCCAGGTCAAGCTGGGAAGGGCTCCCATTTATGCCGAGGCAGAGATCAGGAATAATTAACAGAAATTGGGCAGAAGACCGATCTCCCCCAAGTCAGGCTCCACTCTCAACTGGGGGTAGCGTTTCCAGTACTGATTTCCAGAGTGCATGGCGATTCCCTGTGGAGGCAGCAAGCATCTGACAGTGTCAGCCCCCTTCAACCCTACAAGGAGAATGCTGTGTGCTGTGCTTAGTTGCTTAGTCGTGTCCCACTCTTCGAGACCCCATTCCAGGCAAGAATGCTGGAGTCAGTTGCCATGCCCTCTTCCAGGGGATCTTCCCAACCCAGGGATCAAAGCCAGGCCTCCGACACTGCAGGTGGATTCTTTACCTTCTGAGCCGCCAGGGAAGCCTAAGAACACTGGAGTGGATAGCCTATCCCTTCACCAGGGGAACTTCCCGACCCAGGAATCGAACCGAGGTCTCCTGCACTGCAGGCGATTCTTTACTAGCTGACCTACCAGGGAAGCCCACAAGGAGAATTCTGGAGGACAAATAATATGAACTTTCCCTCATGAATCAAGCAGTGAACCAAAAGCAGTTTAGTTGTTTCCTCTGCCAAAAGAAAAAAGGAAAAAAAAAAAAACCCTGCTGGCTGAATGGTTCCTTCTCTAACGATATAACCAACCACAGTCTGGGCAGGACCCACAGGATACACCTGAACAGCTCACTTCCTCCACCCCCAGCCTCCAAGCTGGGCTGTGAGCATGTCAGTCCCCATCGCACCCTAGAGAAGCAGCAGCAGAGGCCCAGAGGTGGCCTTGAGCCTCCATCCCTGCGTGGCCTTCCACCCTGCTCCCTGCCTCCACCTCCTGCACACACACACACAGACACCCTCCTGAACTTCTGGCCTAGGACTTCTCCTCTCATGGAAGCCCCACGCCTGCATCCCCTCACCAGACGATCTGCTCTTTATACTGACCACCTTCCACACCCCTCAACACATATGCTGGGAGCCAGGCAACTGGGGCAGAGACATTACGTGTTCCACAGCCTCCAACCACAGGCCAGCTGCCCAAGCATGTCCATCTCTCCATCTGCCGTGACTTCAAGTTCCTAAACTTGACAGAACAGTGTTAACTGCCTCCACACACCCTCAAACTGAAAAGGGCTCTTGAATCCACCCCCAGAGTCTCTGGGATGGAAACAGGACTTGGGAAGTGTCCTCACAAAATGGGTCAGATTCCCACTGCAGCTAGAACAGGGACACCTTCCCCTCTGACACCACACCGGGGTCTGGCACAGTCGTGAGCAGCTCACCACTTCCCTTGAAACTCAAACTTCTTCTCCTCAGAGAAAGAGCCTATAGTTTGGAAGGGAAAGGGAGTAGGAGAACGAATATCTTTCCTTTCCACCCACAAACCCAAGAGCACCTGGCAAACCTCTCAGACCAAGTATGCACACCCATATTCCCCAAAGCTCACCTGCTCAGAAAGGAGACAGCAATGAGCAAAACAATCAAGTAAGTTACATGTCACACAGCAATAAATCCTCTGGGAAAAAGAGTCCTGGGAGAAAGAGCACCATAAAAGGGAGCCGCGTTGGGGGGCTGGGGGGACTGGGATTCTGAACAGGGTGGTCAAAGCAGGCCTCACTGTGCACTGGCACTTCAGCAGAGACTT